TTAGAAATCGGCCGCGGTTGCTGGGCTGTTCCGCGATGAAAACAAGCTTGAACAATGGCAATGTCGAATGGTGCACACTCGGTAAGTAATCCTACAATTTTTTGTTTATAGCGTAGTTTATACGGATTATTCCCAAAAAAAATATACGTATTTTGGAAATGTTGAGTCGGATTAGTCTAGAATCGATTAATTTTATGGAAAAAAACCTTTCAATCAGCCGTAGTCCGTAAACTTGACACGTGTCGGGCTGTGATTGGAAGGACTCGTAAGAAATCGGATTCCTAAAGAATGGAACGTATCTATGATCTTATGGGGGGGTCGACTGTACATGAAATAAAAATTCTTAATTATGTGCTAATCCTAGCCATTTTGTATGATGATGAGGTCTTGCAACATTTCATTCTTGTTCTGGGAAAGTGTTTTTGACTTATTTCTCTATTTTTCAGTAAACACTAACTCTCATCTGACTTTGGCCTGAGTTTTGTTTATAACACATCATGTCTGTGTGATATTAGTGCTTCTCTTCATTTCATTTATACTAATTATTTTGCAAACATGACTCCAAAATGCAAGGAAAGTGATGTTGGTAGCTGTGATAAGCCAAAGAAAATTTTTATCTAAATTGTCCACTTTAGATTAAGTACAATCAACTGAACTTTTAACGTCCAGTAACAAAAATTTTAATGTCAAATTGACAAATGTTTTCAATTTTCTTGAAAATGTTCATCAATTTGACATTAAAATTTCAGTTACTGGAAGTTAAAGATTTAGTTTATTGTACTTAGTATTTAGTTCCAGTTATTGAGAAGAAGTATTTTGTTCACTTTTTTTAAAAAACTTTAATTTTAGATTTAATGAGAAAAGAAAGTCTGCTGCTGAGATTTTTTAGTTATTTTTATGATTTACAGTATCATGCTATTTATGTTAATATAGTGTTTATTTGCCTTATTTATATAAAAAAAAAGGTGAGATAGTAAACCATATTAATTATTACAAATTTTGAGAGGTCTGGTCATGTATGATGGGGGCCCCTACTGCATAAATATGTTATGGACAAAGTGATTAATCGAGCATTATTCATAATGCCCAGTCATTATGAATAATGACCAAAAAGGGCATGCAGTGTGATAAATATTCATTAATTTATCAAATTGACTGGTCATTATAAATACTGCTATCACCTAGTCAGGCAAAGTGATAATAATACGTTGAAAAGTGATCATCCGACATACGTTAGCCAATTGGCACTTTGAGTTGCTGATTGTATCGTGTTGAGTGTGTATTATGTTTAGTACTGAATTTTAAATTGTGCAACATTTTAATTTGATTAAAAAAACTCCACTTATTTCATTTAGAAATATTTATTTTTTGTGAATTATTTCTAAGTATTTAAAAAACCATGTAATCTTTTAAAACTAAGTACTATTAACTACATTAATTAAATGGTAAAATTTTACCTATATGCACTGTAATGGCAGTGATCGCAACTGTTTGTGCTCCCAACAGATTCCTCCTGGAGGAAGCCGCCGATTGTTTAACGTCACTAGATATTGATACATACTAGTTATTGATACGTGTGTTCAAGAACTACTGTGAATCAATATCTAGTGACGTTAAACAAGACGCGGCTTGCCAGTAGCAGCCCTCTGGGAGGAATCCGTCTAAAGCACAAACAGATGCGACCACCCCAAATTCGGTACTAAACACAACACACACATGGAACTCAGATCCAAGTGCTGATTGGCTAGTGTATTTTGGATGATCACTCTTCAACACATTATTATCACTTTGCCCGACTAGATGATAGCAGTATTCATAATGACCAGTCAATTTGATAAATTATTGAAATTTATTACAATGCCAGATTTTGTTGATCATTATTCATAATACCCATATTAATCACTTTGTCCTTAACATATACATATAATCAATTCCAATCAATTAAATTATTGGAACTGAGAAAATACAATTAAACTTTAATAATATATAAAGATGATATAATATAATATCACATCATTCAACAATCTATAGGACAATAAAGTTTTTAATTATATTTAACACCCATAAATAATCAAAATGGTATAAATCAGTTTTTCTAGAATAATGTTTCAGCTGATTCATAAAGAATTTAATACTTCAAGAATATTAGTTTATTAAATTAAGAAGTCATGTAATAACGTACCTGCTTGTTCTAATAAAACCTCTTCTCCTCCTGGATGCTACAAAAAATATTTTAATGTTAAAACTTTAAAATATTACAATGATTACAATTATAAAAATTTTATCAATCAGATTAGAATAGAAAATTACACAATATTTAAATAAATATTCATTTAAAAATACAATCTTTTCTCTTATAACATGTTTTTAATGTGCAAATTTGTTTATAAATGGCAAATAAAATCACTAAAATGCAAAAATGTCTTTGCTCATATGCAACTTTTCATGAGATGACTATGCTTTGCACTACTGTGTAACATTATGTAAACAAAACCTGCATCACAACTAAACTTAATAATCTCCAGAAAATTGCACAAAATACATATCCAAAGTATTTGTTCACATGTTACCCTACAAGTTTGTATTATGTTTGAGTTTGTGTATTTTTCTTAACAAAAGTATTTAATACAGGAATAATATTTAACAAAGATAAGGATAAAAGTATTTAATACATATTTCAAACAGAAGTAAGCATCCTGGTTATGAGTCCAAATATTGAATGAAAAAACTGTTTTATTGAAGAGAAGCTTGAAACAAAATGTTTCAAAAAAATTGTACAGGTTTTGAGTACTCTTTACTTACTCTTCTTGTTAGCTCTGTTTTCATTGTGCTAAATTCTATAACATTATTTTTAGGAACATACATTTCTACACATACATCATTTCTGCATGCAAATTAATAGTGAAGGTATTTACTTGGTTATTTGAACCTTTCAAAGAAACAAAGGTCACATGATGAGGGACATACAGACACATTTGTTAATATTAGGCTTTGAAAGGATTAACAAGAGACATTGCCAAATCTATACATCCATCTATCTATCCATCCATGTAGATATATTAATACAAATCTATTTCTATTTGTTAAAATACTAATGTATACCGAGTAACTTTAGATCTGTTTTTAGATTTGCTTCTTTATTTTCCCTATTTATTTGTAATTTAATACAGTAGAGCCTCGAAAACTCGGCCTAATGTGGACCGAAGGGTGGCCGAGTTTGTGAAAATGCCAGGTTATCGGGAATGGGGTTAAAACAGGATAAGTATGCGTGTTTCCTCAGAAAATATTGTACTGTACTTGTATGTATTGTTTGCTTGAGAATACAACAGAGATTAAACTGCCCAAATACCCTTAAACAAAGAAAATGTACTGTACTTGTATGTATTGTTTGCTTGAGAATACAACAGAGAATAAACTGCCCAAATACCCTTAAACAAAGAAAAAGTACATACTTTATGAAGGCATAGAGCCTTTACTATATGAAAATTAAAATTAATGAATACACTGTGTACAATACCCTGATAAGACAGACCTCAAAAAAATACTTTATGAGGCATAAAGCTGTCTATGATGAAAATTAATTATCTAAGGGTATTTTTGCGCTGCCAGGGTGTGGCCGAGTTATCCGGAGTGCCGGGTTATCGAGTGCCGAGTTTTCGGGAGTCTACTGTAATAATTTTTTACAGCAAATATTTTGCTGAGTACAGTACAACTACAAGTTCCCTCATACCAGTGTTTTTCAACCTATGGGTCACTACCCCCATGGGGGTCGCAGGTGAAAGAAAAAGACAAGTGTTTGTAGGTCCTATACTACAATAAAAAATCTAGAATTTCAGTGACAAGGCTGTGCCTGTTTATTTTACAGTACAATTGGTTTTTCGATAGATATTTAAAGAAAGAAAATTAAATACATAGTTTTTAAAATCCCTGATATAGTTTAAATATGGCTCTGGGGGGGGTCACCAGAATTTTTTAACTTGTAAAGAGGTCGCATATTCAAGAAGGTTAAAAAATACTGCCTCATACAATATGGCATTTCTACAACACAATTTCATCTAACAGAATCCAAAAATTTGAGAAATCTTCCATATAAAATTTCACAACTTTTTAAGAGCAAATTCCATTATTCAATATTTTTTTTATTCTAGTAATCATGCATGCCGTCTCAAATTTGCCCATAGATTTTAGAATATTGAAATATTCAATTGGTTTTGTGCCTTTCACCAGGTTTACTTTAATGAAAACTTAGTGCAATTTTTTTCTTTGTCTTAGCCTTCCTATAAACTAAGTGTTGTCGTTGCTTTCAGACTTTAGCTCTTAAGACTGTCACTGTGTTTTGTTTTTATAGATTAAATAAACTTTACTAAATGCAATGATTAAACATTTTAGGTAAGTGTTATTAACTTTACTTATTTAACCACCTAAAAGGGGTTTTTGGACTAATAAACAAATAGTTATGTCCTTCAAATACAGCTTTCACCAGAGTTCAAGAATTACTTGGAAACAATTTTAAGATGTTTTATTTATATGCATTTCTGAAATTAAAATTCTTTTTGGGTAATTCTTGAACTCCAGTGAAACAATCTTAATTTCCAGAAATGCATATAAACAAAACATCTTAAAATTGTTTCCGAGCAATTCTTGAACTCTAAAAGTTGGATTTGAAGGGCATAATTTGCTTATTAGTCCAAAAACCCCTTTTAGGTGGTTAAAAAGTAACTGATTATATCTGGCTAATATTGCTAATTTTAGCTTGTTATTAACCTTTTTTTAACCGTAGGTTAGCAATCATTCATAAAAATTATGAATGAAGTCCAGCAGTATCTTGGTACTTGAACTGTTTCCAACTCAAACAATTCAGTATTTGAACACAAATTCTAGAAAATAAATTGCTCATTCCTCAATTGAACAAATGCAAACTGCTAGAAGAGTGTTTTTCCACAATTTTTGTCTCACGACACACTTGAACTTATAATTAAATTTCTTCAGCACACTTAAATTAGAATAATTTTAAAAAAAGAGTAAAAAGAAAAATAAATTATAAAAAATACAATCTATTAACACAAAGCAATTTACTATAATTTCTAATAAATAGATAATAATTAAAATTCTTAAAAAGTCTTATTTATTTTTTGGTTTTTTATAATTAAACATTTAATGAGATATCTGATCTAAGAANCAAAGCAAATTATTATAATTTCTAATAAATAGATAATAATTAAAATTCTTAAAAAGTCTTATTTATTTTTTGGTTTTTTATAATTAAACATTTAATGAGATATCTGATCTAAGAAAAGCAATTAACATCAAGTCTTAATTTGCATTTGAAAGTGGCATGATAAATGCCTTTATAAACCTGCCCAACAGTGACATGCCGTCCATGGAAGTGTCGCTTTCCTTATATTTTCTAAAATATAAATACATATTGTGCAATTTTTTTCATATTTTAATGTACTTTGAAATAATTAAAATTAATATTTTATTATAACCGCATTATGTATCTTATTACAAATTTCTATACATGTGAAAAACAATGATAAGATTGCTACTGTATATTTGAATATAAATTCATATATGTATATTCCCAATGGAAGTGCGAATACAAGATAGCTTCCACAGCCAAAATATTTGAATGGTGAAAAGCAGCAAGATTACAGACATTCGCACATGTGCTTTACAGAGCACCAACCTCATGACGTTTAGCTCGTGGATGCTACCCACCAAAATATCATATGACACTTCCAATGATTCTAACCGGGGTCGACACAGCTTCCCTGTCATCAAATGTCACAGCATACCACTGCTGCTCAATGTCCTACTATTTCTAAGTTAAAATAATTTGAACTAAATATAGACAATTATACATAACTTACATATTTGATTTAAATAAACTTTAATTTTAAATGAAATAACCCAGTGTTATGTACATATATTTTTTGCCACAATATGTATACATTTATTTATTGTAACAATAAGAAACTCATATAATCAATTTAACGAGGTTTTAATTTTGACATGTACTTATTGTTTTTAAGGCTTCTTTTGAAAATAATTTATTTAATAACCTTCAAAAATTTTCGCAGCACACCTATGATTCTCTCATGGCATATCAGTTGAAAATCACTGTGATAGAACAAATTTTTGATTAACAACATATTTTCACTTTTTATTTTGTCATATATAAAAGATACCTCCTAAGTATATACATTTTTTAATGAGCTGATATCTTATTTTAAAATTTTAATATCATTTTGTTTAAGAATTTCTATCTTTCTTTATCATATGTTGAAATTTCGTTATACAATATCATATAACATATAACAAAGAAAGATAGAAAACAAGCTATTTTCATATAGCATAGCACTAATAACTTAAAGCCAAAATGATAGCTAAGCATTCAAGATCATCAATGCATAATTCAATTTATAAGAGAATAATTTTTTGAAAATATACTATTAGAAATAACTGCAAAGATTTTTATTGTTGTTTAAATCATTAAATACCAATATATATATATGATATAGTTTCTAAATAATATCACTATCTTTCATGTGAAAATTATCAGATTACACTAAGGTAGTAGTATCAATTATAACAGTTAACTAGAGCAATTTCTATAAAAAAAAATATGATATGTATATTATTTCATAATTTCATATTTGACCAATATAACTAAAAATCATGCCCTCTCTGTAAATACAAGGATTATATTCCTGAAATATATACAAATTTCTTTAAAAATAAAAAATACAATCTAAATCACTCATTACAACTTGACTATTGATTTCTTGAGTTAGCAGCCAATTTTGTAATCATTTTTCTTACTCTACATGATCACATTGTTTCAACAATCATCATATCAATGCCTAATTTTCAATGTACTTCACTTCAAAATCATTTAAAATAGACCACAGATTACTTCCATGGAAAAGTCATTCCAAATTGTTATCAATTCAAAGAAATTGGAAAACAAAAATTACAGATAGAAACTATATTTTCATTTAAAATTAATTAGATTCAGCAATAAACAGTCTAAACATTTTTCAAAATAATATCTTGTTCATAAAGTATAAAAATTGATTCTTAAAATGTAATATTTCTATTATATGCCTAATATCAAAAATTAATTTTTTTGAAGATACTTAAACATACTAAATTTTATTTGACTTAACACTTCCGGATATTATATGAATGTCTTGCATAATCCAAAACCATCTAA